ATCGAGTCCAGCCCCCTGCCCCAGGGGCAGGAAGTCAGCTGGGGTCATAGGATCCCAGCAACATAAACATCCAAATTTCTCTTGAAGGTGTTCAAAGTAGGTGCTTGAACCACCTCCGGTAGCAGTCTATTCCAGACCTTGGGGGCTCAGACCGTAAAGAAGTTTTTCCTTATGTCTAGCCTGAAATGGTCCTGAAGGAGTGTGACTGTTTGACCTTGTCATCCAGTGGGGCGCTAAATCTAAATATTACTACTAATATATTAATTTATGCTATCCTTAATAAAAATGATTCATTTTAGTTAACACTAGCAACATCCACTAGCAGTCACAGCTGATATCCTCTATCTCTGTGGCGTGAAAACTTGTCTATACACTGGGATCACATGTGCTGCATCCACTGAATTGGTTGGAATTGTAAGGCAGAGTTTTGCCAAGTTGTAGAGATGTGAAAACCAACCACAAAAAATTCCCCAAACTCAGTTACATTTAAAGGTATCTGACATTCTTTGACAAAGTTCATGTAAGCAGCACATTCATTATCATGCTCTTTCTGCCATCCAGGGATTGATTTAATTAGCTTAGGGTCAAAACTCAGAAAAGGTGCCTGATTTGGGTCAAAAATGCAAACAGAACTAAAAAAGTAGTCAGCCAGTTGTTTAAATTGAGTTGGTAGTGATTGATCATACTTATAACTGATTTAGCTTTTCAGCTATTGCCTGGAACAGTTTTTGCCTGCACTGCCTTTCAGTTTGACAGTCTGAAAGTTGTGATGCCATATCTTTGACCCAACTTATCAAATGCATCAGTTTGTGGAGTGCTTTGTGAATCAAAATCTGCCAACTTTCAAACCACTTTAGAATTTCCATGAACCGGATCACATTTTCAGCCACAAACTTAACTTGATCTTCAATGTTGCCCTGTTTTAGAAGACTGTGTAATTTAAGCGTACACTGTGTGCTCGGTGTGATCTCAAGCTTGTCACACACAGATTGCAGGTAGTACTTAATCTTCTTTGCATAGTAGCAAACTGCTTTAAACCATGAATTCCACCTTGTAAGCACTGGTTCTGGTGAAAGTGACATGGTCGCATTTAGATCCTCACTTTGATTGGTGATGGACTCCCTGTATTGAAGCTTACAGCCTGGACAGTGTTTGAATGATTTTTAGAAGAAGAAACCAGAATATGCACATCAGGAAAACATGTGCACCAGCTATGACTTACTAAAGAAAGGATGTGTGCATTGCAGGTAACATGAATTGCATTGGACTTCATTCCATGGAACACATCAGAGAAAACTTTGCACATATACATAGCATGTATATGAGAAGTATAAAAAATGCTGAGATCTTGTTAAATTCTATGCCATACTTTACAACAGCCTTCAGTACAGCTTGTGCAACAGTTTAAAAATTTACAGACTTGAGTTGAACCAGCTCTGTTTGAAAAACAGACATGGTTGCAGTCTTTCCAGCTCCCAGGTACAAATAAAATGTGGAGTACATAGTTGTCTTCTGCAACTGTTGATTCGTCTGCTACATCTAAAAATGAATCATATTCTGTCAATGTAGATTTTGTAGACTGAACATGCAAAGCAGTTGCTTCTGGTAGATAATCCTGGCTAAGTTTGTTTGCATATGGGAAACTTCCAGGATTTGGTATGTACTTGCTGAAATACTCCCTTAGTTTTAGGTTATCAATTTTTCCAAAGGTATGTTGGCAGTAGTGAATGCCTCCAATAGCTCAAATGTAGCTTCTCTTGTTAAATTGCTTTCAGTGATTCTTTTAAACATCAAGGACATTTTTGTTTGTTTATTGACCTCAGCTTCTGTAGAAGTCTTTCACTTTATATATGATTCAGACTATAAATGGAGATTAATGCTGTTTTTTTCTTTATCCATCCAGAGGCACATTGCAAGATTGAACAAAACAATTTACCACTATCTGAATGTGAGGTTCCTGTAAGGAACTATCACCAGCTGAAATGTATTTAGCTTTCTAAAAGTTATTTTCAGTCCTCTTCATGGTTCAAACTATTGCATTAAGATGGGGCTGAAACATGTTATTCTACCTTACTGAACAAGTAGACAGCAACTCAGTCATGTGATCTATGACTAGTTATATAGTTATATTGTCTTTATATTGTGGTAAACACTGGGACAGTCTTAAACAGCGTATTATGTGAATAATATGCATTTCATTTTTTTTAAGTTGATTTTGTGGACAATTCCATATTTCCTGGTTGTCACAGACAATCCCATATTTTACGTTTTCTGCAAAATCCACAGAACCGTGATTTAAGTAGACCTCTATTTATAAGCTATTTTGTCTCTTACTTTAAACCACCCTAGCCTTTGTTGGGAAGGGTAGCATATACATCAAATAAACAAACTCTTGTGGTAAATATCTATATATTATAAGACAACACCTTTCTAGCCTAGTGTTGTGATGTTTTATAAATACACCATCATGTTTGTGCTTGTTTCTGTTTATTAGCTTATGATCTTTGAAGTTGAGCCTTTCTCTGCCATCATAACCAGGAAATCCTTTATTGAACTGACCATGAACAAAACCTCTAGAACAGCCAGTAACCAATTTTTTGCCAGTTCAGGCTCCCTTGCTTAGAACCTGTGGTGGCTGCAAGGTACAAGATGGTATGATCTGAATTTTATTTTATTTTTTCCAGGCATGGACCATGGAGAGAGCCAGTTAACCCTTACTATGTCAACACAGGGTATGCTTTAGCACCAGCCACCAGTGCCAATGACAGTGAGCAGCAGAGCATGTCAAGTGATGCAGACACTATGTCACTGACAGACAGCAGTGTGTAAGTAACTTTTTTCTTGGGAGTGGGCTGAGCATGAAACAGAATGAAATAGGATATAATATGTGTACGTTCCTTATTGGTGGGATTTGATTGTAGATACAGTTTTGAAGATAGCATGATGGCTTTGTCTGTAGGCAGTGATCCTGGATTATTAGGTTGAATTTTTTGTGTAGGCATATCCCCTGTTAAGTAGCTGATACTTTATATATTAGGCACAAGACCAATTTATTTTTCATTTTAGCTATGTTGATTTACCATTTCATGTGCAGGTGCAGTGTTTTGGGAACATTTGTAACATAGTCAAACTGTATCAGTACAGTGACTGGTAGGAATTTCTGTCACATTTTCTAATGGCAGCCAGCAACTATCAGGCCTGCACTAAAGGCAGGTTTGTTAGACATCAGTTGTTTTTGAGCTGTTTCCCCACAGGCATGAATCAAAGGGAGCAGAGGCAAGGCTTTGACCCACTGCTGTATTTTATTAATCTTGTCTTCTGAAGGGGCCCAGTGTTGTCATGACAAACATGGTCCTTTTGGATGGCTGAGTTCCATACCAAGGCAGGGTAAATTTGCACATTTAGGCTGAGTACAGACAGTCAAAAAGACCTAGGCTGACTCTATTCAATCTTCACATGTTAGTCTAAGCTGTGTAGATTGAATTGATAAGCAAGTGAGCAGGCGTTCACTTTTGATTTCAGAAATGCAGCTGCAAGCCTGCAGTAGGCCAGGCTAAAAGTCAAGGGGCACTGGATTGCACCTCCCAGCTTGGTTGAAGCAGACAGCCCAAGGGAGGGGGTTGCGGGGGAGGTGCAAAGCATCCTGGGATGGTGGGGGACTGCGAGTTAACTTGAATCTGGAGGGGAATCTGGGACAGAAGTTCAATAAACTGATTTAACCTAAATCAGTTAAGTCTGATACTACATCTATCCAGTTTATCTTAAACTGGTTTCAGCCATTTTGCAAGTGGTTTATATGCACTGAACTTCTGTCGTGTTACAGATTTGAACTGGTTTCTGATTATTTATACCTATTTATGTGTAATTTCTGTTCCTAGTCTTATAAACTAACCAAAGTAGGTAGATATATATTAGGGTTGCACCAGTAAAGATTTTTTGGGTTGAAATCAATGGCCAATTGTTAACAAGTCATATCAGCCAATAGCGATCCGATTGCTGATATGCAAGCCTGGCAGCTTGGAGAGCAGCATCTGGCTGGTAAGTCTGTTGGGGGAAGAGGTGTGGGAGGGGGAGCAGATCAAAGTCCCCACAGTGAGAGAGGAAGTCGGGCTGGGGCAGGGGTAGGTACTGCACAGCTGGGGCAGGCCAGAGCCACAAGTGGCTCATCCAGGCAGCATGAGGAGGGAGGCATGGCTTCTGCTGCTGTGTACACCCCCAGGGGAAGCATGGGGGGCACGTGCCCCCTGGATCTGTCCTCAGGGCAAGGGCAGGCTGCTGCTGTGGGGTTGGGCTGGGGGTGACACCGAGCTCTTCCCAGTCGGAGGTTGGGCCAGGGCTGCAGTTAGGGTAGGCAGCAGCAGCCCAGGGAGAGGTTCCCCCCATTGCCCCGACTTCCCAGTGCCTCCCCCCCCCGCCACAAGCACAGCCCCGGCCCAACCCCCCCTCTCCCCCTCCCCCCCCACTGGGAAGAACCCAGCACCACCCCCAGCCCACAGCACCAGCCTGCCCTCACCCCAAACACATATCCAGGGGGCATGTTCCCCCCATGCCTTCCCCAGTGGTGCGCACAGCAGTGGGATCACCTCCCACCACACCCACTGGACAAGCTGTTCACAGTTCTGTCCTGCCCTGACTGTGCAGCCCTAGCCCCACTCCCTCCCTCACTGCGGAGACCCCAATCTGCCCTCCCCCCCCACCACTGGGAAGGAAGAACCCAGCCCCAGCCCACAGCCCCAGCCTGCCCACTTAGGTGTGATTTCTACATTCAGTGATGTGATTTCCAAGTTTAGTGATGTCTAGTTGCATAATAGCTCACAAGAATATGGATGGCCCAGTAGCTGGGGTACTAGCATAGGACTTAGGAGATGTAGTCTCAAGTCTTTGCTCCTCTGCAATACATTGCCTGTGTAGCCCTGAGCATACTTAAGGTATGTCTGTACTGCTTCCCCAATGCTCTTCTGGCTGCTGCCAAGAAGCACAATCCTGACTACCTACCCATTTTTATTTTTCATGTGCCAGACCCAGAAATAAGGCCCCTAGAGCAGTTCCCCTGCCTTATTCCTGGATTTAGTGCATCTAGAACAGGAGCCAGTGGGTAGGACCATATTCCCCAGAGCAGCCTCAAGAGCAGCATGAATGTAGTATAAATTTTCTTCTTAGTCTCTCTCTGCTTTGGTCCCCATGTGGCAAATGAGAATAACAGAACTTCCCTATATCAAAATGTATCTGAGGGTAAATGCATCAAAAACTGTGAAGCTGTCAGATAGCTACACAGGAAGTAATCATGTGACATCAAAACATTTGATTGATGCTAGGTCATACTTATTCCTTTGCTCTGATTATAGTCCCCAAATTATCACTGATGTTAGGTGATATTTGCTAGTATCTGGTGTCCGCATCTATATCATAACTACATGTCCTGAATTGTGCCTTTTTCTTGCTAAATGTGCAGTCAGTAATTGTTGTCAGATAAAAACAGTGAATTGTCAAGTAACAATGATCTATTACAGTGGTTTTCAATCTGTGGTATGCAGACTATGTTCAATCAAAGATGACTATGTTCAATCAAAAGTAAGTAAATATCCACACTTACAATTCAAAGAAGTCAGCACTTCCTTTCAATAATTTTTAGGGGTCCACAAATGAAAAAAGGTTGAAAACCACTGATTTATTAGATTACTAGCATCTCCAGGCTGTTTTTAATAAGCAAACAGAATAGAGTGAAACAACTTGAGAACAAAATAATTTGATTAGGCCGTGATGGGTTATCTGTATAGAAGGATGATGAAAGTGTACTAAAAAAGACAGAGGTACTACAGAGCTACTAATAACAGATCACTTGTGGAAACTGACAGTTTAAGCAGTTCAAAAGGCGATTCAATCATAGAAAAGTAGAACTTGAAGGGACCGTTGGAGATCATCTAGTCCAACTTCCTGAGTGAGGCAAGATCATCCCTATCCAAACCATCCCATACAAATCTCTGTCTAACTTATTACTAAAACTACACAATGAATTATTTCACACAATTACAAGGCATATCGCCCTAACCTGCCACAGGTAAAGCAATGGAACAACAGTGGTCAGTGATCTTCTGCTGCATGGGTTGTTAAAATGTACTCAAGAGATCTAAGGAAGAGGACCATGCACCCTGCTATACAGGAATGCCAGTGGCCTTTGATTCTTAAAGCAAAAGATACTAGCTTAATACAATCAAAAACAGTTTTTAAGTGGAAAAATTGTAAAGGAAAGTTCTATGACCAACTTAACTTGGTGTCATTGTGAATACTAAAAGCTGCCATTCCTCCTTGAGGAAACAGATTTCATCCTACCTTTGGATATTATTAACGTTATGTTGAATTTGGTGCTTCAGCCAAATTAAAGTAGTTCTCCTCTGCAGTGAGGCGATCAGCTGATGAATTCATGACATGGTAAAAGGTGTTTAAAAACAGCTATTTCAGAGTTTGAGAACTATTTGTTTATCATTATCCCCTCAGCTTTTAACATTACTTGTCCTCTGAGTGCTTGTCCTTATGGATTTTCCAAACACTCATGAGTGGAGGCTTTTGCCTCAGTTGTACATGTGTCTACCTTTCCTTGTACTTGCTCTAAGAACCTAAAATGCACTGCATGCCTCACCCAGTAGTTCCTCACAACCACCCAAGGCAGTTTCTGCTATTCTTACAATCTTTTCTTATTGCTTTAATGTTTTGGGGGGTGGGGGTTGGGGGGGAGCTTTTTAAAGTTTTTGTTACTGTTTTAACCTGTTTATTCATTCCTGTCATTGAGAGAGAAGGGGGGGTTTTGTTGGCCTCTGGACCCCTGGTTTTCTAGCTGGTGAAGGCTTCTTTTTCCCCAAAAAGACTATATCTCAATTTTCTGCATCCAGCATGACCTCAGGATCTCCAGGCCTTTATATATTTCCTCTTTTGGGATGGTGCTTTACCTAGCAATGTTGGACATGTTAAATTGTTTACTAGAATCTCATAATCTAGGGAAGTGTGCAGTCTGTGAATGTTTCATTTCCCAAATGAGAAAGGAGAGAGAGATTGAGCTCAATTCACCTGCTCAGTAAATCTCAAGAAGTCTCCAGCCTTAGACCCTGGGCTGCAAGATCCAACCAGATGCAGAGACTCTTAAGTGTGTGAGCTTCCTGCCCAGAATATCTGCAGCAGTGGCAGTACTGTGAAGTCAGCCTTCAGTGAGACAAAGTACTGGGGGGCAAAGAGAAAAATCCCCAGAGGAAGGCTTTTGAGAAAGAAGATGCTACTTGCTCCTCTCTTCACTGTTTGACCCCTGAGACTTTGGGTCATTGTGCTTTCTCACAAGCTTGGAAGCATCACAGGGGCACCAGAGGAGCTAACAGGGAGCATTTAACATTGACCTCTGCCATGCCAACACGATGCCATCCATAAACTGTCTTTCTAGAACCGTGTTCTTCATAAGCACTAGCTCCACTAAAACAAAGAACAGTTAACAGTGCCCTGCCTGCTAACATGGACTCTTTCTGTGATGCTACTCTACTCCATGGCACCAAGGTGACTTCCTTGTCCTCTAGGAGCTGAAGTTGCCATTATTCTCTGTTACCCTACTAGCACTAACCCCAGGTCCATCTGGGCTGTCAGCACTGAAGCCATCAGTGACATTTGAATGTTCTATGCTGCTATCTTTGGACTCATCTGATCCAGTTGACTATCAGTACTCTGACAAGTCACACTGGTATTTTCAGGCCATTTCCCTCACATTCTCTTTGCTTTCCAATGTGAATCCAGTAATTCCTTTTGTGAGACAGCTTTAGCCTGCAGGTTTCCCTTTGCAGGGGCTGTA